AACAAAATGTTGTCGTTCTATTAGTTTACTCGTCGTACGTTACAATCGTTGTAATCTCGACGTGAATAATTGGAAAACAATGTCTGATATTCTCTGTTGCAATGCGATTAGCGTGTCCGATCGCAGCGGCTGGGATTCACGGCGATACCTTATTCGCTGCGTGTTTCGCGAATAAGATCGTCGCTGCGAACGATTCGTCTAGATAATCGACAAAGATCGAGTCCGGACGTAGCCATGGTGCACATGTAGGAACAGCTTGGAAACATGGAAACGAAATAAGAACGAGTTCTGCTCGGTCAAAGGTTTCTACAAAATGAACAAGAAGAAGAAGAAGGAAAAGGAACAGGAACGGGGGGAGGGGGGATAAGAATAAGATTAAGAAGAAACGTCTCAACTAGTGGCACGATTAACACGTAAGACATTGCATCATTAACCCTACATTACTCAGTAACAAGTGTATACGATGAGCGGAGTGTTGAACGATTCGAAAATGCATTTCTGACGAAAATGAAAAGTCTCGTTTTCCCTAAAATGGTTCCGACATTGAAGAGCAACGGCCGAGTCCGTTTTCAGATCTCGCAACGATCGAGCAAAGAAACGACAAAATCGGAATTACACGGCGTGTCTACTAGATCCCCGGATCGTCGTGGACCCTGAACGCCGGGGGGGGCCAAGACGAGGGCCGAGAAGCGTTACGCGTAAACAGGAACGTTATGCGATCGCATTGCGAAGAAAATTGGAACGAAGGTGTCCTTTGGCCGAAAACTCTCGAGAATCGTGAAAAGCGACGGTTAAGAGAAACCTGGATACACCGTCGTCGAGGGAAAGAGCAAGGAAACACCTTGCCCGTTCACGAAGGACGCGAATACTGCTTAGAAAAAGCCATCACCGCACGTGCCATAGACCAAGATTCAACGTACTCAGTTGAGGCAGTTTCATGATTTTTTCGAGTCCGTTGGTACTTATCCTGGTGCATCCGTAAAGATCGATGCATTTCAGGTGTTTCATTTTCTCCGCGATCGTGTAGAGCCCCTTGTCCGTCAACCTACTACACTGGCCGATGTTCAACGTCTCCAAGTCGTGCAACGTTTGAGCGATCTTGCAGATCCCCTCGTCGCTGATCTGGCACGCGGACAACGACAGTGACTTCAGGTTGAACAGTCCCTGGGAGATGTTGACGAGTGCCTGGTCATCGATTTTGTCGCAGAACGAGACGTCCAACGACGAGATCCTGCTCCCGCCCTCCGCCAGATACGCCATGCCGACGTCCGAGATGTTGTCGCAGGACCGAAGGTTCAGCTCCCGCAGGCTGGGCATCTTGGCCAAGTGTTTCACTCCTGTGTCGCCTATGCAGACGCAGAACGACAAATTGATGGACTTGAGAGTGGTCAGGCCGGTGGATATGTGTCTGAGCGCCTCGTCGGACACTCGCTGGCAGTCCTGCAGGTTAAGCTGCTCTAGCGCGAAGTTGCCGCCGGCCGTATCGATGTCCACGATCCCAGCCAACTGTTTCATTACACAACTAGTGGTCGTCTGAGAATGTATGCCCGCCAGGTAAGCGATCCCGTCGTTGCACACCTGCCAGCAACTCCGCAACTCCAGCTTCTTCAGTTTCTTCAGATACCACGCTATGCATAACAGCCCGTCGTTGGTGATGTTCCTGCAACCGCTTAGCTCCAGGTGCTCCAAGTTCGGCAGATACATGGCTATCCAGCTGAGCGAGATGTCCGAGACTTGCTTGCACAACGACAAGTTCAGCTCGGTTAAGGTGGTGTACTCTTGCGAGAACGCCTTCATCAGGGCTAAATCGTTCACGTTGTAACAGCCGGACAGGTTCAATGATTCCAGGTTCGGCACGCCTTTCAGAACGTCGCCCAGGCCTCGCCTCAGCGATAACACTTGGACCCTCTTCACTCCCCTCTTGACCAGGCTGGCGAACAACGCCGGTGCTTGTTTCCTGAGGTGCAGCTTGGCCTCGACGCCGCGCCACACCGACCTGTGGTACGCGGCATCCCTCCACGCGACACACACTTGTGCCGCGCGTCCTTTGTCCCTAACCTCCAAGTAGCTAAAGATCAACGCGAGGATCTCGGGATAGAGGCACGAGATGTGGGTACTGGCCGCGACGCTCTCGCGGTTCCCCTGACCGGAAGGATGCCGGGGCAGACCTTGCGGGAACGTTGGCAGGCTGACCGTACCGCTCATATAATGCGCCTCGTTACCCGAGTTGTAGAGGATCGGCTGATTCTGGGACGTCGGGATCGCCAGGTGCGGCTGATGTAATTGGTAGTAGTGTCCCGAACGGTGAAGCAACGTAGTGCCTCGGTTCCCCGTTAACGCCGGAAGTTCCGTCATCAACAGATGACTTTCCTCCATGTTGACCGGTGTATGTGTACATGGACTCCAGGCCCCACATGCACATGCACACGCACGCACACACGCAAACACGCACACACTGGGGTCTTACGCGAGTCTCTTTAGGCAGAATTCTCCTTATTTTCTCCGTCCTTTGTCCAACCGTTTCGTGTGTGTCCCCCCACTTTGTTACAGTCTCGAGGCTTTTCTCTTACGTCTCTTCCTTTCCGTTTTCTTTCTTATTGAATCACGAACGGCGACCGATACGAACACTGCACGAACGTAACCCTCCACGGATGCGTTAATTCGAAGTCGACACGGTTTAGTCAGTCCATCGCTGTTGTCTCGATCATGTCGATGCATCGATGAAAACCACGGCTTTGTATCTTCGACCGAAGAGCAGTATATCTTTAAAGTTGAAGAAAAAGAATGTGTACGCGTGCATGTGTACGTGTGTACGTATGTATGTTTGCTGTGTATTTTGCGCGATGCGTTTTCTATGTGTATGCGTGCGTTTGTATATGTGTATCTGTGTGTGTATGTAACGTAAGAGACGGAGAAAGAGACAGAGAGAGGAACAGCGTATCGGTTGTTTCACGGTTTACGCAAATATCGCGTCGCACATGGAACACCGCGACAGAGCGTATTTTTTAATTCGCGTTTCCCTTCTTTTACACGTTTCTCGGTCCGTCTTTGTTCCTCCCGGGTTTCCTTGTTCGCTCTCTCTTGCTCGTTTCCTCGCCTTCCCGTCTCTCCCCACCTGGCCGGCCTCGAGACTCCCTCGCAACCCCCCCTCTCTTCGTCGTCTCTTTCTATATACGTAGAGATATGTGTATATATTCATCTACGGGCACATAGCACGCGCGCGCGCGCGCGCGCGTCCTCCTCTCTGTATGTGTAGTGTGCGCACAAGTACTTTTTTCCTTCTCTTTCTCTGCTTGTTACCGCCCCACCTCGTCCGCTCACTATGCCGATCCTTCTCTTTCGCCCGCCGCGGTCAGTTTCTTCTCTACACTGTCCCGCTCGTTGCCACACTGAACACCTCTTTTTTAGACACGCACATCGCCGTTACGTTCCCCTGGTCGGACAGGCACCACCGACGGGAATTTCCATGCGGTTTCGCAGCGACGGACAGACGAATGAACGAACGAACGGGTAAAGCTCTATATCCCCATCAGGCTCGACGGTAAATTCCCTCGGAGATGCAAACGGTGAAAACGTGTCCGTAGAAGTGCTCGGCGCGACCAGCTTCAAACCGACATGTTGGGGAAAACATGAACCGGTGCGCTGCCAGCCGCGAACTGTTGTTCCAGTTGCCCAAACTCAGATGTCGTGTCGTCGTTCCGCGATACAGGCGGAGCAACCGAGCTCCCAGCGGCGCGACGATTGGCCAGCAAACCGCGGCCACGCGTCACGTGACTATGCCGGCGAATATCGATTCGGGTTGCGCTGCGGCGGCATTTTTAAGTTTTCGTCGGGTAGGGGGGGTGCAGGACCTCTCGCGTACGGCGAACCACGTTGCGACCACCACTGAGGAGAAGCTCCTTCAATTTTCCTACGAGTGCTATCCCCCCCTTCTTTTTTTCTCTCTTTTCGAATTTCCGATTGATCCTTCCTGTCCCATACTTTACACCCCTTTCTTTCGATCTTTTCTGTACTACGATTTTGCTCGTCGCAATTCTGCACCGATTCAAAAGAAACGTGTACATAAGAATTTTTGTTTCTTTTTCGTTCTTGGCAATATACGAAATATATTCTACCTTGACGGAGAGAGTTTAGGAATAATATTGATGAAGGTACCAATGTAACATGTACTGTTATGTTATTCGAGGAAGCTGCGACGAGATGCGTGTTTCGTTTTCACAAGGCCGGGCCTGGGAATTTAAAAATGAAATGGATTATGTTAAAAATATGCTGGATACTTTACGTTATTATATAGATAACCATTGACGACTGTGAATATAACATTGGGATAGATTGTAGACTCTTGTAATGTTATGAAATGATAAAACCAAGGTTGAAAACCTTTTTTCTTTTACCTTTTTCAATCCGTTGGAACATATAAAATCATTTTCTATATAGAATTCAATAAAAATTTTACGGCGGACTAGTATTCAATACGCTTCCGAATCAATAGTAAATTACGTGAGGATAAATTACAAGCTAATTACGCGTTTAATGTTAATGATACAAATAATTTATATAAAATACCGAGGTAAATAAAATATCTACACTGACCTGAATATATATGTATAATACGATATTAAAATTATTGAATAGATGAAATTTAAACGATTGCATATTCGAGAATAAAATTGTTGGTTTTATAAGTTAGCAAGAACGAATAATTAACAAATTTGCTATTATAACAATTTTGTTATGACTTGTATTGCAAATATTTTGTATTGGTTGTTGCACCATTTCTTCTTTTTAGTAACTGTGTTAATATAAACTTAATTTGTCTTGAATTTTTAAAATAAAAATGATTAATGAATCGTTCATATAAAGTGGAATTATAAATACATAAATATCCATAGATTCGAAAAAAATTTATTTGGCTCTTATCAATTGTCCACTTATTTATACATTTCAAACGATAGCAAGTAATAAATAATTAATAGGGATACAAAATGATTACGTATATACATAAACTGCTATTTATTTATTTATAGTTTCAAGTGTATAATAGTTCATATTACAATGTTATTTAATAACTGTATAACAGTAAACAATATCGAATATAATTGATTAGAATACTTGTGATATGCCACTAAAACTGGCAAGTAGAATATTTACACGTTGTAAGATGCCGCTTCATTGCCATATTAAAAAGATATGTTGTACAGATTAAAAAGTTGCAACAACATCAATTGTGTTAATTCATAGGGTATCATTCGTGACGGTATTACAGCGGCAGCTGGATAGATATCCTAACTATTATCACAGATGGAAAGAAGACATTTATCGTATTACTATAGCATATATTGAGTGTAACATCATATGTGACATATAGTTCAAGAATAGAGTCAATATTTAAAATAAAAGAATTAAAGGAATTATAAAAACTTGAATACCACATATAATGTAACAAATAATTATAACCATAAATTTTAAAAAATTTAATGACAGTACCGATATATGAATGTATGCCACTATATGTACCTCTTACAAAAATAAATGCTTAAACATTGTTAGAAAGCAAGAACTATACATTTCTATAAACGTATTTTATTGTTTTCTAATTTCCGACTGCATCACAATATTCCCATATAACATGTTACACGCTTTATAGTATTCCATCCACATTGTATTTACTATCATCTTCAACAAATTATTGAATACTTACATGTTTATCTTTCCTGCTTTAATCAAGATTTTTTCTTCATGCTTAACAAATAATAATTTTACTACTGATTTTCATTTCGGTATTATAATTATGCAAACCAAAATGTACACAAATGCGAAAGGGCTACAAAAGCATTGCTTGCTTTCACCATATATAGGATTTAAATTATAATACTATGACAATATAGATCGCTCGCATTATATTTATAAACACTAAAATTTACACATGTGTTCTTATCATTCCATTAGCACTGAACAAACTGTACAAACGTATTATTACACTAAACAAATATGGTGTGTTAATAATATACCACAAAAAAGATTGATTCAACTTCTAATTACTGTGATGTAATTCATCTTGTGCCACATAAAAAGCTTGCCTCTGTTATACCGTAAATACTTCGTATTGTTTATTTTAATTTAATTTGTTTAAAGTGCACTAAAAAGCGTCATCAAATCGCAGGAACCTTACACAATAAAATATGCTAAGTTATCTGTTAATAATATTGATCGCCTCTTATTGATTAAACACTAAATGTTATGTATTTAACATTATTCAGCTCTTATTATGGTAACTCATTAAAAAAATTTGTCCGTAATTACATAAATCTTGTACAACTATACATACATACATACATATATATATACATGTATATA